AGTTTAATACACTTCACTTGAACTAAATCCTTACTACTCATATCTCTTTGTTTGGCTAATTTATACATATATCTTTCTCCCTCCTTAGTATCTAATCTATTATATAAATCACTAAAAGCTAAGGTCTTTGCATCGCATATTACTTTTTTAGATTCCTTATGAGCCTCTTTATATCTTTCCCAATTATCAGATTTTTTAAAATTAAACTAATTTTTATAACAAATTTTCTTATTCTTAATATTTTCTTGCATATTTTGATTCCACCACCAACTATTTTTACTATTATGAGCTTTTTCCTTTGATACTCCAAGTACATATTTTACAATATTCTTAATATCACTAACAACTTTTTCCCACATAACATTAGCATCCTCATACATAGATAAAATCTTAAGATCTAAAATCATACTCTCAAAAATATTTTTGTTAATATTCTTTAAATGCCCCCATCTAATCCTAGAATATCGTTTTACTTTATTTTTTATTATCTGCCCCTATATCTTAAAGTCCAAAAGTGATAATCGATGCTGGGTACATAAATGATATTCTAGGAGAGTAAGAAAAAGGTAAAAGGCAACAAGATGACCGTCCTTGTTATAGAAAGAATCAAGCTCAAAAACCCTAACTGATCTCTTGTGAATGGGATGTTAATGCCATGAGTCATTAATGCTAGAGTGCGGATGGGAGCGCGCCGCTCCTTAAGACTGAGAGGCGGAGATGCAAACAAGTGGTTGATCGGAAATGAATGCAAGACATTTGTGAGGCTCAAGATTGAGGAAGTTACACTTATGGTGCATGCATGAGTAGTGAGGTGAGCGGCGAAGTTGCATGTGAGTGCGAGCAGGGGCAATTCATATCAAAACCATACATATGCACTGCTCTAGGATGCAAGGAGTCTGCCAATAAAATAAATTTCGACAAAGATATGGACCAAAATGGTCCATTGACTCTTAACGAAGGATCAAAATGGTCCCTGGCTATTTAAAAGACTTATTTTAGTCCCTTGATTGTTTAAAAAGTGACCTAAATGATCCCATGTAAGAACTAATTTGGCAATCATTTAAAATGTTAAGAGATCAAATCGATATTTTTATATAATCGATGACTATTTTGGTCCTTCAAAAAGGTTACGGGACTAATTTGATCATTTTCTCAATTTCATCATGTTTTATTGTTTCATGGAATAGAAGGTTGTTGGTAATATAGATAGTGGCATGGTTGTTCGTATGTTTTTTGAACCATCTTTGCTACAAACAACTATTTCAACTTTGTTGCTTGGTTTTTGCTTATAAAAATTTTCTTTTAGTTATCATAATAATTTTTATTAGATTATAGAGAGTCATCTTAGATGATTTGGTCATATAAAACGGCGGCCTTCCGATGGCCCGGTTAGGAAAGTAGAGGTATTATACTTAACTTATGATAAAAAAGGTAGAGGTAGACTTAAAAAGACTTGGTTAGAAAATATCAGAAATGATATTTCTTTATTAGATTTAAACGATAATTTGATTTTTAACAGAACACAATGGAGAAAAATGATTCATATAGCCAACCCCACGTAGTGGGACAAAGGCTTGATGTTGTTGTTGTTATTGTATCGTATGAATTTTTATATCAATTAATTATCAAAAAATCCTCACAGTTTTTTATGGTTCTAAGTCTTATTTGATGCCGTCTGCACAAAAATCCTTTTTGTACATGATGTGAACCTATTTTCTTTCATAATTGAAGGATTATATGGATTTCTACCTCTTAACGTTTTCACTCTGTACTACCGTAAGTTCACATGATTAAGGTGTGGAGAACAAAGGTTTTGCTCAAATTCTTTAAGCATGTGATTGACCTTCTTCAATATTAGTGAAATCACTGTGTGGTGAGATCTTTGATGTAAACCATCCATCTTACCTATATTTGGGCAATAGGGTGGTGGAGTAAAAGATCCCTGGTGATCTTATTATGCGTTCCAAAGTTGACCCACCCCAATACGGCAAAAATGACGAGAAAAGGTTGCAACGTTATACAAATGCTATTTGAAATGCATCGACAAGAAGTCAAAATCACCAGAATAACAACTATTTATAAAATGGACAAGGCTTGCACATTGGGAGCAGCAAAAACAACTTAAATAGACACTTATATTGCTTTAGTTTGACACAATGAAATTCAAACAATTCACTCGTGTGCAAAGGTGTTGTAATATATCACACGACAACAACAACAACAATATCAAGTCTTTATCCCACTACATGGGGTCGGCTACATGAATACTTTTTCTCCTTTGTGTCATGTTAAGAGTCAAATTCTCATTTAAATCTAATAAAAAGACAATTTCTAATATTTTCTAACTATGTATTTTTAGGTCTACCTCTATCTTTCTAAACATACATCAAATATAATATATTTACTATCATAACTGGGTCTTCGGAAAGTGGACATTTTATGTGACCAAACCATCTAAGGCGACTCTCTCTAATCTTATCTGCCACTGGAGCTACTCCAACCTTCTCACATATATGCTTGTTTTGCATCCTATCTCTAAGAGTAAAACCACTCATCCTCCTGAGCATCATCATCTCTGCAACACTTAACATAATATTATGCTTCTCTTTTAATGGCCAACATTCTGCACCATAAAGCATTGCAGGTGTCACGACCATCTTATAGAATTTGCCCTTAAGTTTGACGGCACTTTTTTATCACACAACAAGCCTGATTCATTCCTCCACTTCAACCATCCATCTTGAATCCTACTAATAATTTCCCTATCTTTTTCACTATTACTTTGAACAATAAACCCGATATATTTAAAAGTAATGGATTTTAGATCTACTCAAATGAAAACTTGTAGACTCTAAAGTTGACCTTCATAATTCAAGTTTACTTTCAACTCTCTCTTTACTCTTATCAACAAGAAGAATATCATCAGCAAAAAACATACACCATGGTACATCCTCTCTTGTAAATGTATAGTAAGAACATCCATGACTAAAGAAAAAAATATATGGGCTTAAAGTTGATCCTTGATGTAATCCACTTGAAATAGGAAAATAGTTGGTCAAACAACCTTGTGTTTGAACACAACAACTCCTGCATACATATCAAGATAATGACTTAAATATAAACTTTATTAACCCCTAAATGGCTCAATTTGTGTCCGATTTTAGTCGATTTTGGTTTGACGAGGCTTAATTGAGTTGATCGAGTTCGATCAAACCCAATTGGGTTTAAATCGGCTCGATCGGAGTCAGGTCGACCCGAAAATTGTGTTATCAACCACCAAAACTCTGTTAGCAAAGCGAGGGCGCAAATTTTTGGATCCCACAATCCATTGTAGGCTGGTCTGCAATTTTGGTGTAGCCCTCGTTTTATTTCTTGATTTGTTTCCTTTAATAATTTGTATTTCTAATCTTAAAATATTTCTGAATTTTGGATGTTTGGCTTATGTAGTGTTTGCTTATTGAATCCCAACACCTACTTTTAATTTATTTTTCATTTTTGGTTTGAGTCCTTGCCTTGAATTTAGACTTCAATTGGTCTCTTATGGGGCTTTCTTACTCAGATGGTCATCGATACTTATTTTTCAAATGTTTATATGCCTTCTACCGTAAATTCAATTTTTCTTATTTTTCTTTTGTTTGTATGCCAGTCTATGGCCTATCTAACCGGTTCTGCTTTTTCAGAGGTCCATGGGGTGCGCTTTCCCCAATTCCAGAAAACAATGCCATCGCAGTTGACAAAGAGGTTAATAATTTCTTAAATTGTGTTTCTATGTGGCAGCTGCTTGTTTATTTTATCTGCACTAACACTTATTTTGGTTGATTCCTTCTCTTAAATTTTAGCTGAGGCTGTATATGCTACATAGTTGGGATAATTGGCTGCACTTAGATTTACTAATTTGTTCTGACAAAGCAAATTTGTATATATATATATATTTTTTTTTCAGGAAACTGTTGTAGTAAAAGACCGCTTGTTCCTTGGGGACTAATATTACTTTTGTTAACAGGATGGATCTATTTTTTCAGCTGCTGGAGATTCTTGTGCTTATTGGTGGGATATGGTACGTATACTTTTGAGGTGATTCAAGTTTTTAAATCAAATTTCCTTAAAGATATTATAGTTATTGGTTTACATCAGCTTTTATTTAATTATACGTTAACTAGATTCATATAACAATACGTTAGCTAATTAATTACAAGCTTTTTGCAGCTTCATTGCTACTTATTAATGACTAAAATGTTTGTCCTTGTATGTTGATTATTATCCACTATATTTTATGTTTTTGTTTTTCCATGAATTAAGAAGATTCTATCAAGTTTTCATCACCTTTGCTGAAAAGCTCTGTTTTCTGTTAATATTGGTGGCTTTACTGTTAATGTGATTGTACTCCAAACATCATCATCAATATTCTATTCCAACTATTTGGTTTAGTTTTATGAATCCTTATTTTACATTCATTCCTGTTGAGTGCTACATGGGTTGTTATTTTATTTCACATAAATGAGTTTGAACTAGTTTAGCATTATTAAGTTTATTCTTCCCAAATTTTTTTGTAATCTTTTTGTTTTAATTTTATCTTTGTTTTTTTGTGCATGACATGCCCATTCACCTTTCCATTTTTAATTATCTTTTTTTCCCCTCAGTTGGTGCTTCTTCCACAATTTTTCTAATATATGATGATATGCCAGATTGTCTTTAGTTTTTCACAAATTCATGATCGATCTTAAGGGACTCATCTATCACATTTAACTTATGTTCTCAATGACTTGTTATCCAATAATTAGACCTATGAAACAAGAAGATCTAATTTTAGTTTTTAAACTAGTCAATTCGGTCTCTTTTTTTATTTTATTATATGGTGGTTGTGACATTTCTCCATTTTAACCCCCAATTTTGACTCTAGACATCTATAATTATATCCCCATTCTTATATAACAAAAAGCTTAATTCTTTACGGAACTTTATTTTATCACGCTGGTTACATGAATTATCTTTGTGATTTTTTCCTACTTGTTGATATTGCCTTTTTAGGAGACAGGCAAAAGGAAAATAGTCTTCAAGGGCCACTCAGATTACCTCCATTCTGTTGTTATACGTAAATCCAGCAATCAGGTAATGTTATAAATTTATGATGTCACTTTTAGATGCGAAGTCAACTTTTCATCTGTCTAAAGTAAGTGTTATGAAATAATTTGTTATTTTATATAATCCATTTTTTCTAAGTAGTTTTAGATTTATTTTGCTTTATGTTTTGTAAGAGGCATAGCATCAATGCCTATGGTTTCGTTCACCAACCTTTACGTGGAAACAATAGCCACCTTAAGCATGTGGGATCTTAGTCCTACCAGTTATGGTCAAAATAGCATGGCACTAGTGATGGTTATAAACGGCAGCGTAAAAAAAATACCAAAAGCAAGATAACTATGTTGAATTGTTTTACAAAACTTATGCAAGTGCAAACATCATATTACGCCTTTGGCTAGGAAAGGAGTTTTGAATGGAACTGCCCTCTTGACTGTTCTTGGAGATTGGTGAAGAATTTGGGGAAATAATTGAAAAGGGGTCATTTCTCTCATGTAACACATATCAATCTCTGTTAAACATGGATGCTTTTCTGGGTTTTAAGCTAAAGACATTTTAGAATAATATATACTGAACTATTTGATGGGTTAAAAAAAATTCTTGCCTTTGGCTCTATTGAGAGTTTTTTTTTGTGTATTTTCAGGTCAAATTTATTGAAGGTAGATTATATTGTAGATATGACATCAACAAGAGATTTTCCTCCCATTTTGTTAAAATTTTATGACCTGATTTTAGGTTTCTGATACGCCTTGGTTTCACAAAATTAGGGTTTGCCCTAATTTCCCTTCAAGGTTGGAATTTCTCCACCAAATCAAAGTCAACACAAAATAAGAAAGATGAGAGGAAGAACAAAAGAGCTTTGCATTAATCTTCAAGACAAAATAAAAGACAAAGCTAGTCCACTTCGAGAAGGACCAAATCTCCCAAAAGAAACCCTAAAGAAAACAAGAAGGAAAAGAGAAAGAACTTTTTTCACATGATGCCCC